ACGAGGAATTCTAACAAAATGCAGAGAAGGATATCACAGTTGGTAAAAATGGTACTTTCTGGTTCCGTTGTATTTTTGAAGATGTTAGGCTGACCACAGAGTTACAGTCCTATGCATCCAAGCATAAAAACAAGTGCATATGCTTAATTAAATCCCTCATCTCATGATTATTCTTGTATGGAAAAGAATCACCCCAATATTACAGAAAAATGAGAGGGCTAGGTTTTCTTCTGTACTTACCCCTGAGCTTTTTGAGATCTCAAGGCAGCTGTTGGTATTGCGGTTCTCAATTCTTTCCATACAGTAAAGCAAAAGTCCTTCGAGGTCCTTCAGCTGTATCCCCTCTTCCCAGTCCCCACCTCGACACAATAGGAAAAACAGTGCTACTTTCAAGGAGACAGGTGGCAGAGTAGGGTGTTTGAAATAGAAGTGGAACCACTGGGGACTGGGGAGATGATTGAAATTTCTTTTTAATTGCAGAAGTAGTACACATTTTTAAATAGTTTAAACAGTAAAGAAGTATATAAAAAAAAAAGCAAAACTCTATTCTTTCCCCATTCTTCACTGTACAGTTATACGTTAAGCATCTTATTAAATGAACTTGGTACTAATTGTATGATGCCTAGCAATTTCAGAAGGATTGAGAAGATCTTATTATCTTAAAAAAATGTTGTCTCATATCTTTTTGTATTATTTCTGGTTGTATGGATGAAGGCAAAGTAATATCCCGCACATAAACCAAAAGGTGGAAATTCTGGATGATACAAGATAACCCAGGGGCGGATCCAATCAAGATGGCGGAATGGACGGTCCCCAGTGTCACTCCCTCCCACAAATCAACCAAATTTACAACTATAAAAATGGAACATCGGCCAAGCCGGGGCTGCTGGAGCTCAGGGAAAGAGGAGGAGAGACGTACGGAGTTCATGAAGGCAGGAGAAACTATGATGAGAGAAAGAAAAAGCTGCTCTGAGCATTTCCGGCCGCAGCTGCTTTAAGGCTCGAGCTGATGAGCACATGGAGCAGGAGCCGGCAGAAGCCTCAACTGTGCCCTTCAGATGGAGTTACTTGGAGGCAGCAGGAAAGAAGAGGGCCTTGGCGGCCCCCAGGACAGCAAGACCACTAATAGGGTTCCCGTGGGCCCACGCAGGAGGGAGGAGCCAGAACACCTGAAAAAAGGGAGGCACTCAGAGGCCAGTGAGTCATTGCAAGGGACCAGCACAGGGCCCATCCCACAGGAAGTGTTTGCAGCACAGGTGGTGTCCACCAGGGGATCACTGGGACACAGCAAGGACAGCTGATCTGCCCCCTAATCAGCACAGGACCACTCAGAGACTGATCAGGAATGCAGAATTGCATGGGGTGCAGTTTGATGAAAAAACTCAGGCCCAGATCAGAGATTCTACAGAACACAGATCCACCGGGTCTCAGGAGAGCCAGAAGTACCTATAAGGTCAACCATTAAAACCTGAGCTGCACAAAAAGCTTTCCCTAGGGAAACAGCAGCAAAGTAGCAATTTAAACAACCACACAGCCCAAGTACTGGTTCCCACAGGAAGTTCCCCCGGGTTAGAAGCAAAGGACAAAAAATTAGTTCTGGCCCAGGCACACCACCAGCACCTTGGGGCCTTCCTGGGAACTGGAGGCTTGGATCTGGGGACCGGACCCCACTCCCACTTCCAGGCAAACTATACCAGTGCGTCAGGGCCAGCCTGGGGAACTGAAGCATGGAGAAGAGGACTGGACACCCCTCCTACAACCAGGCACACCACTCCAGCACCTTGGGCCCCGCCCAGGGACCCAGGGCATGGAGAAGGGGACCAGACCTCTCTCCCACAAGCAGGCACACCACGCCAGCACCTTGGGGCCTGCTCGGGGACCCAAGGCAAGGAGAAGGGAAACAGACCTCTCTCCCACAACCAGGCACACCACGCCAGCACCTTGGGGCCCACCCAGGGACCCAGAGCATGGAGAAGGGGACCAGACCTCTCTCCCACAACCAGGCACACCACGCCAGCACCTTGGGGCCTGCTCGGGGACCCAAGGCAAGGAGAAGGGGACTGGTCCTCTCTCTCACAACCAGGCACACCGCACCAGCACCTTGGGCCCCACCCAGGGCATGGAGAAGGGGACTGGACCACCCTCCCACAACCAGGCACAACATGCCAGCACCTCAGAGCCCACCCAGGGACCCGGGGCATGGAGAAAGGAAGTGGACCTCTCTCCCACAACCAGGCACACTGCACCAGTGCCTCAGGGCCTGCCTGGGGACCTGAGGCATGGAGAAGGGGGGACTGGACCTCTCTTCCACAACCAGGCAAACCGAGCCAGCGCCTTGGGACCTGCCCACGGTCCCGGGGCATGGAGAAGGGGACCGGACCATTTCTAGCAATCCTAGTTCTGGGTATATATCCAAAAGAACTGAAAGCAGGTTCTTGAAGTAATATTTGCACACCCATATTCACTGCAGCATTATTCACAATAGCCAAGAGGTGGAGGCAATGCACACGTCCACTGAGGGATGACTAGATAAACGAAATGGGGTATATACATAAAATGGAATATTATCCAGCCTTTAAAAAGAAGGAAATCTTATCACATGCTACACCATGGATGAGTCTGGAAGCATTATGCTAAGTGAAAGAAGGCAATTACATGAAGACATTCACAAAATAAAAAAGATAAATATTGTATGATTTCACTTATATGAGGTGTCTAAAGTAGAAAAATTCATAGAAACATAAAGTAGAATGGTGACTGCCAGAGACTGAGGGAAGGGGACATGAGGACTTGTTTAATGGGGACAGAGTTAGAGTTTTACAGGAAGAAAGAGGTCTGGAGATTTGTTGCACAACAACGTGAACATATTCAATACTACTGACTTATACACCTAAAAATGGTTAAGATGGTAAATTTTGTTATGTGTTTACCACACCACCCAGGGACCCGAGGCAAGGAGAAGGGGACTGGACCTCTCTCCCACAACCAGGCACACTGCCACCAGTGCCTCAGGGCCTGCCTGGGGACCTGAGGCATGGAGAAGGGGGGACTGGACCTCTCTTCCACAACCAGGCACACCATGCCAGCACCTCAGAGCCCATCCCGGGACCCAGGGCATGGAGAAGGGGACCGGACCTCTCTCCCACAACCAGACACACCAAGCCAGCACCTTGGGTCCCACCCAGTGACCCGAGGCATGAAGCCAGGAACCAGACCCTCCTCCCACAACAAGGCACACCATGCCAGTACCTCGGGGCCCACCCAGGGACCCGAGGCAAGGAGAAGGGGACTGGACCTCTGTCCCACAACCAGGGACACCGTGCCAGCACCTCGGGGCTTGCCCGGCCCAGAGGCATGCAGAAGGGGACTGGGCCCTCCTCCCACACCAGGCACAAAACGCCAGCACCTCGGGGCCCACCTAGGGACCCAAGGCATGGAGAAGGGAATTGGACCCCCCTCCCACAACCAGGCACACCACGCCAGCACCTTGGGGCCTGCTCAGGGACCCGAGGCAAGGAGAAGGGAAACAGACCTTTCTCCCACAACCAGGCACACTGAGCCAGCACCTTGGAGCCTGCCCAGGGACCCCGGGTATGGAGAAGGGGACCGGACCTCTCTCCCACAGCCAGACACAACATGCCAGCACCTCAGAGCCCACCCAGAGACCTGGGGCAAGAAGGGGACTGGACCTCTCTCCCACAACCAGGCACTCCGCGCCAGAGCTTCAGGGCCTGCCCAGGGACCCAAGGCATGGAGAAGGGGACTGGACCCCTCTCCCACAACCAGGCACATGGCGCCAGCATCTTGAGAAGGGGACCAAACACACCCCACAACCAGGCATACCACCAGTGCCAAGGAGCATGCCAAAAACAGCACCTCCACGTGGGTGGCCCACCACAGCCACCACAATAACCACGGCTGCTGCAAAAGCAGCTAGACGTCACAGCCACCACGCAGATGGTCCGCCAACCACTGGAGTGCATTCTAACAAAAAGAGTCACCAGCAGAGACAAAGAAAAGAAGAAGATGTCTCTTTCCACAAAACCCATTTCAGAGTGACAGAAGAAGCATCTGCTCTATGATAATATTGGGGGACCTGATCACACCTCTCAGCAGTGGACAGATCATCTAGGCAACAAGTTAACAGAGTAACCATTATTCTTTCAGAAGGAGAGAAGAAATCTAGGGTAATTAGAAGGGGTCGAGGTTAGGGGGAGGGGGAGAGATTGGACAAGGGGCATAAAGAATGATTTGTAACAATATATATGCTAGCAATATTCATTTAATCAACATATCTCAACATATCTCATTATATGTTCAACCCCAAAAATATGTATAATCGATTTGATTTTGAAATTTTTTTTTATTCAATAAATAAAATAAAATTTTAAAAATTTTAAAAATTTAAAAATAAAAAGATGACCCAGAACAACGTAAAACAGGCTTTTTAAAACTAGGGATCAGGACCCATTAGAGGATCAGGAAGTCAGTGTTGTGACTAGCATTAAAAGGAAAATGAAATAGAACAGAATTGAACATATAATATATTTTGGTAAATACTATGGTATATTTGTTCACGTGTGTGCACCAGATTATGATGTAAAATGTGTTTCTTTTTAGGGATTATGTGAAAGAGAGAGCATGTGCTCTCTGCATAAGGTGTGGCCATCAACACTAACCTGTCAGAGTTTATCTCTGTCAATCGCAAGATCGATTCTCTGCGGCTGCTCTGATGCTGGTGGAATGATAGTCAGTTAGATCTTAAGTTATGGGTTTGCGCTCAGTTCTCTTATTTACTGTCTTGAATTTGCAGTAATGAGGAGAGTTGGTCAGAGGCTACACCCTACTTCAGTACCTGTTCTGTAGGGTGGCAGTTACTGTAATTGTCTGTGGTGTCTGTGGATGCCGGGCCAAAGAAGGAGGGATATGCCTGAGGACAAGTTCCTGTCTCCAGGGTTGATGGTCAGCCAGGAAGACAGACACAGCACAAACGAGCGAGGAGGTGGTGGGGTGGGCGGCGGAAGGGGCTCCACTGGGGAGGTTGAGGCAGCGGTGCATGGAGGAGGTCTGCCTGGGCTTCACAGCCACTCACTTCTGTCCAGGTTCAACTCCTTCCACCCGGACACTCGCAAGCCGATGCACAGAGAGTGTGGCTTCATCCGTCTCAAGCCCGACACCAACAAGGTGGCCTTCGTCAGTGCTCAGAACACAGGTACAGCCTCCTCCCCAGTGAGGGCAGCCGGCCAGCAGGTAGGATGCACCTGCGCCATAAGCAGGTGACCCCAGGTGCATCCTGCTGGTGGGCACATGTTGGTGGGGACAGTGGAGACATGGTCCCATGGGTGCCTTTTGGCGGGAGCAGGCCAGGCCGGCAACCCTTGTGGCCCCACCCCCCTACTGGAAGTCATTGGCCTCCCAACTCCCATCTGTGCCCTGCCGCAAGTGCTTCCCTGGGACAGGACCCAGCAGAATAGCATGTGGCTGCAAGGTCTTTGCCTGCAAGTCTGGTTTGTACCCAGTGTGGAATCATTCTGAAACAGTCAACCAAGTTTATTAATTAGAAATGACTCAGAAACAGCCTGTGTGATCTTGACCTTTTGCCCATTCACCCAAATGAGTCCCACTTCCTGGACTGTCAGGACCCACCCAGCCAGGATGTATGGAAGTGCACGGAAGCCAGAAGGGAGTCCACCTGCTCCGCCTCCCCCTCCTCCCAGGACAGGCTTCTGTCAGGCTCCTCGGGGGCAGGGCTCCCTGGCCCACTTGACGGGAGGGCTGGGGTCCACAGCACCTCGGAGAAGGTGACCCTCCACAACACACCTGCGCCCCTGCTGTAGGAAGAACTGTGAGTCTTCTGCCTCTTGGTATGAGGAAGGTCACATGCAGGCGAGCATATTGTTACCTCCAGGGCTGCAAAGCTCAGGTCTCCTGGTGAAGGATAGCAAGAGCTGTGCCCTTCCTCGCAGGCATTGTGGAAGTGGAGGAGGGCGAGGTGAACGGGCAGGAGCTGTGCATCGCATCCCACTCCATCTCCAGGATCTCCTTTGCCAAGGAGCCCCACGTGGAGCAGGTGAGCCCGGCCACCCAGCCGTACCTCCCCAGGGTGCTCTGCCATGGACGTGCACAGTCAGCGGGTCTCAGCCTTTGTCATGCTGCGTCTTCCCCACTGTGGCTGTGGCCCGCTCCTCACGCCCTCCTAGGTGCGCAGGGGGCATCAGTCACCTAGCCCTTGGCTGGGGGCGGCATAGAGTGTTTCCAGCTTTGTCGTCGTTTTTCTCTCAAACATCCTTTTCCATTTGTGTTGTACACTTTCGCAGATATATCCACATCTGTTAGGTAAACTTCTCCTGTTGAAATTGCTGGATCAAAAGATAGGTACGTTTAAAATCCTGTAGGTACTGTTAAATTGCTTTTCTTAACAGATACACTCCAACAGCGTTGTGTGAGTAGCTGGTTCCCACTCCTGTATTCTTGTGTTTGCAGGCTTTTTGGTTCTTTGGAATGTGATAAATTCAGTCCTCGTTTTGAGTCTAATTTATGAGTGAGAGGCCTCATTCTCTGGGCTCATTGTCCATTCATATTTCTTGTTCTGTGTCCTTGTTACTCAAAGTCTGCCTGCTTTTCTGTGGGTTGTCGTTCTATCACTGACTCGAAGCTTTCTATGTACCGTGGTTGCTAATCTGTCACCTCCTCCCTGGCCTGTGCTTTGGCTTACGACGCTTCTCACCCGCAGGTGCTAAGCTTCTCTTGAGCTGCCTCTGCGGCCTTTCCTTTGTAGTGTCTGGATTTGGGTTCTTGCTCAGAAGGTGTTTCTGCTACAGAATGATAAAAATGTTCTTCCATTTTCTTGTTCTCTTGTCACTTTCTCTTTTACATTTAGACCTTTGGTCTCACTCATATCTGTCTTTTGTGTGATGCACTGTACAATTCTAACTTTCCCAGATGGCTGACCTGTGGTCCCCACACCATTTAATGAACTTCATCCTGACCCGACAGATTTTAATATCATTTGTCATGTGGATCTTGGGCCACATCCACATATAGGATCTGTTTTTTTATCTGCTTGTCCACTTCTTCACTTAATAACACATTTTTTTGGTTGTCATAGCTTTATATTACATTTATCTACCTCTCTTTTTTTTTGGTGGCTGGCCAGTGAAGGGATCCAAACCTCTGACTTTAGGTATTATCAGCAGCATGCTGTAAACAACTGAGCTAACCAGTCAGCCCTTCCATTTTAATGTCTAAAGGAATGTTCCCTATATTCTTTTTTCCAAATTTTCTTAGTTACTCATAAGCACTTCTCTTGAAATGAAAACTCATATGAGCTTCTCAATGTCCATGAAATTTACATTAAGATTGTATTGAATACATGAATTAATTTGGGAGAATTGATACCTTTTCATTGATAGCAGTATACAACAGCATGGTAGTGTATTGCAATAATTTCAGGTCTTGTTTTATGTATTTCAGTAGATAAGCTTTATTTTTTTTAACATTTTAGTTATATAGGTCTTGCACATTTTGTGTTAGGGTAAATTCAAGTGCTGTATAGTTTTTGTTGCTATGTAAATGTCTTTCTATTTCATCTTCTAATTGATTTTTGATGGTTGTGGGGAAATTTCTAATTTCAGTATGCCTATGTTGAACTGGGCCACTTTTATAACTTTTGACAGCTAGGATGTTAGGCACAGCACTCATAGAACAGCAGGAGTGAACATTTGTTGTAGCTTGTTCCTGATTTTAGTGGAAATACTTCTGTGTTTCACCACTTACAAGACTCTTGCTGTGGGTTACTTAACTGGCAGATAAGATAGTCTTTATCAGGTGAAGATTCCATTTCTAGTATACTAAGAATTGTATTCAGGAATAGGTTTTGAATTTTATCAAATGTTTTTGCAGCCTCTTTTGGGAGGATTCTGTGTTTTTTCCTGCTTGAAGCTGTTAATGCAGTAAATTACATTAATATCTTCTAAACGTTGGGTTATGTTTGCTTTTGGGGGATAAATCCTATTTGTCAGGATATAGTAAATTTCTTTCAGATACCATTACCCATTTTTGGTATCAGAGTTCTTCACAGACTGAGCTGGGAGCTTTGTTGCCTTTTGTGTTCTCTGACAGAGGGTGAACCCCACAGGAATTACCTGCTGTTGGTAGACCTCCCCGGAATGCATCCCGGCCCCGTGCGTCTGTGGATAGAGGAACGTGGACATCAGCAGTGCCCTTACTTTCCTCCATGGTTGTTTTTCTGTCTAGGTTTCCCACCTGCTTTATCTGAAAATTCACATTTTCTTAGAATAGTATCAGTTTCTTCTAGATTTTCAGAATTTTTCGAAGTCATATATTCTGTTTTCTCCTTATCTGCCATTCTATGTCACCTTTATTTTACTGATGTTTTGTGTATGTCCGTGTCTTTTCTCTTTTTCTTGATCATATTCGCCAAAGGCTGTCTATTTTACCAGGGTTTTATTTGGATTTTATTTTTTCTAGAGAACTAGCCTTGGGTTTTATTAATTAAACAAAAGGAGGGAGGAGGAAGAGGAGACGGAGCTGGGAGGCCTGGTGTGGGAGGGGAGAAGACTGTGCTCTGAGCACCCGCACCCAGGGGCTGGGGCCTCTGCAGAGTGGCCTGGGTGGCCAAAAGCTGGAAGCATGTGCCTGAGGGGTGGGTGTCCCCCTTGGGTTGACTTGGGCAGAACGAAGGAGGCACACACACGACACAGGGAATCCGAGGCCAGGAGAGTGGGAGGCGAGGGACTGGCCTTGGAGAATGTCTGTCTGTATGTCGTTTGTGCACAGGGGTGAGAGGATGTGGCCCTGTCGTTACAATGTCTTTGGAATTTCCTGGGACTTCATTCGTAGCCAAATACACAGTCAATGTCTATAACCTTTCCAGTGAGTATTGGGAAAAAATGTGTCTTCTTTATTAGGTTGAGCTCTGCAACTTTATCTGTAAGATCAGACTTCAAAACCGTGTCATTCAGATTCTCGTTGGCCCTGTCACTTTGAGAGTTATATACACAGCAATACCCACCCATCCTCATTTCCTGCTCCTCAGAGGTAACCAGTTTTCTCTTTTAACTCATTCTTTTAGTATGTAGCTCCATATTTATTAATAATGTTTGTTTATTGCTACTTCTTAATGTTGCTGACTTAGGCCTTGTCGATTCACCTTTCACTGTGGACAAGAAAGATTTTGCTCCCTGAACCCCCAGACCCCAACTCGAATCTCCCATGCATCCCACCCCACCCTGCCCAGAGAGTTTGTGTTATGATTTTATTGGGCTGCCTCTGTTAGAACAGAGGGTTCATGTTCACAGCCAGACCACAGGGAGACATGCTTTGGGAGACATTCCTTTTCTGCCATTTCAGTGGCATTGGGGTTGGGGAGAGGAAGCACAGGTGTCTCACTGCTGGCCACCTGGGAGTCTGCACACTTGGGAGCTCTGTGCAGCGTTGCTGGGTAACCAAAGGTTTGTCTTATTGGTTTGTTATTAGGCACTGCGGCACTGCTAACTGCTGTTGGGGGTGTTTCCCATCTTTGGCTGTCAGGAGTGATGCTGCAGTTAGTAGCCTTGGACATGGTGTCTGCACACAGATGCAGAGGCACCCAGTTTTCCCCCACTAGTTCTGGAAGAGTGTGGGCTGGTGCCTCCTGAAAAGGGTGAGGCTTGTATCGGGGAGAGACGACTTCCCTTCGCTGCTCTCAGGCGTCCCAGTGACTCAGGCAGGCTGGGAATCACTGTGTGAGTGTCTCTGTTCTCCGTGTGGGTGTTTGGTGGGGTTGGCCCAGATCATAGACCCCACAGAGGATGGTGATGCTCTCATAAGCTGTATCTTGAGTCCAGTGGAGCCTGGTAGTGACCAGAGGGCGCCTGGTGACTGAGCAGTGACGTGGCCTCTGAAGACCCTTGAGGAGACTGAAAGTGCTAGAGCAACTCATGTGGCCCTGCTGGTGAGGGCCTTCAAGGTTCCCAGACCCCACCTGACTTTGACCTTCTCTGTGCTATCGTGCTGTCTGTGTGTGCTTTATGACTTAAGGACCACCCACAGTCAGGATGGCACGTGCCCCACAGCAGGCCCGGAGACAAAGGTTCACAGAGGCTCCCAGCAATGCAGAGCCTCCCGCCCTGCCCCCGTCCACTAATTCTTGCCACTTCCTTACGCGTGTGACTTCTGGATCTAATTTTCCAGCCTGGGCTGCTCTTGTGAGGTTGAGCATCTTTTCATCTTCCAGGGAGGTGCCTGTTCAGGTCTTCTGACCATTTCCTACTGTGGCTTTTCTTACTGACGTGAAGGAGTTCTTTATGTAATTGGAATACAAGCCCTTTGTTAGTTACGTGTGTTAAAAGAGCTTTTTCAGTCTGTGAGTATCTTTTTACCTTTTTTTTTTTATAGTTTTGAGCAACAGAAGTTCTTAATTTTATATGGTTCAATTTGCCAGCCTCTTCCCTTATGGATTCTGTTTTTAGTGTGTCTTGTTTAAGTAGTCTTTCCCTACTAACAGGTCAAAAAATATCTATTGTACACTTTTTCTAGAAGCTTTACAGTTGAACCTATTAACACACCAGGAGTTGACGTTTGACTGTGGGGGTTCCCCTCCTATCTCCCAGATGGATGAGCTGCCCATGCCCTACTTGAAGAGCAGGCCTCCCACCCACCCTGCCCTGCTCACAGCCGCCTGTGCCGGCGCCACATGGTCTTGTTACTTTGGCTTAAGGTTTTCTCAGGTCCCTTCTGAGCCGGCACCTCTCCCTGGCCTGCGCAGTCATTCTCCAGCTTACCCCGTGCAAGCAGTTGCTTTTAAATACTTGGTCTTTAATGTCCGGTTCCCATAAGAGGAAAAAGAAAAATGAAGGGCCCTTTGAACCTCTGGAAGCAGCTTCGTCACAGGAGGCTCGCCCAGGGCAGTGGCTGCGCACCGAGAGCCGGCATTGGGGGGCCCTGTGGGCTGCGTACCTGCACCTGCACCTGCTTCTGCCGCGTGGAGCACAGCTCAGCCTACACCCCCTGCACATTCAAGCCCTCGGGCGACCCAGGGTCCCACAGTGGCTACCCTCACACAGGCCTGCCTGCACAGTTACCGTCGGGGGGGGGACGCTCCTTGTGCCTCCTGAGCCACCAAATGCCCGGAGCCCACCTTAACCCCCAGATTTGAAGGATATCTTTGCCACATAATTCTTACCTGCATACCTCTGTACATAATTTGTATTTTTCATTGGTTGCTTTCAAGATTTTGTCTTTGTATTTGAATTTCGGTCATTTCACTACTGTTTTCCTGGGTGAGATTTTCTTTGTCCTGATTGGGGTCACTTGAGATTCTTGCCTCTGTAAGATGATGTTTTTCATCAGATTTGGGAATTTTTAGCCGTTATTTTCTCTACTACTTTTCTGCCCCATTATCACTCTGGTCTCCCTGTGGGGCTCTATTAATACTCACTCCTGAGACTGTGTTCACTTTTCTTCAATCTGTTTTCTCTGTAGTATTCAATTTGGATATTTTGTATCGACCTGTGTTCAAATTCACTGACTCTGTCTTCTCTACCTCCGTATGCTTTAAGCCATTAAGTGGGTTTTTCTCCGTGCCTTTTGTCAGGATGTCCCTCTTGGTAGGCCTGCAGAGCCTGGGCGGTCCCGGGCACAGTGCTCGCATGTTCGCCCTCATCACTCTGCCCCGTCTCTGAGCCTCAGCACCCCCCTTTTGCCTCTGCACCCTTCCGCACCCTCCTCCATGCTCGTATGGGAACCATGTTAATCAACCACTATGGCTCTTGATTTCTTTATCTTAGGGCCCAAAACAAAAAATCAAATCCATCCTACTTTCTCCTGACCTTTCCTCTCCCACATTTTTCCTACTGAACAAAATGACAAAAAAAAAAAGAGAAAAACTCAAGACAGCATTAAAATATTGGAAATTCCCCCATCAAACTACCCTTTACAATAACGCTTCTCTGTAGGGTACATGCAGTCTAGAAAAAGTGAGCACAAGCGGCTAAAATAAGAACTTATGTCTGTCATGAAGGTGGACTCTCATCCTGCGGCTGCAGAGGCTCACCGGCCTCCTGGACTGCCTTTGCCTGTCCGAGCTCAGCTCCCAGCTGTGTGGGCTTCGCTACAGCACATGGGCCGGTGCTGCCTCTCGCCACCCAGAAGCCGGATGCACTCCGTTCTGAAGGTTTGGGGGCCAACAGTTACTTGAGTGAGGATCGGTCTGCAGCTCTGACACGGCTTCATTAGGGGATGCGTTAGCTATGCCACAGCAGACTCAGGATGGCCACATGATTATTAGTGAACCTGCTGGATTGCTGGTTGTCACCAGAGGCTATCAGCACCCCCAGTACCTCTATTTTGAGCCTGAACAATGCAGTGTGTGCCCTGCCTGAACTTTAAATCCTTCCTGAAGCTTTCATTTGAAGAGGAAATAAGCATAGGAAATTATATATGCAGTAGCTGTGTCTCCACGTCACAGGCAAGGCGTCCAGGACAGAGCCTCTGGCAGGCCACGAGCCCTGAGGTACAGCAGCTGCTGATGCCAGCCCCTGTCCATCAGCAGCTGCATCACGCACGGCTGTGCACGGGCCGTGTACTTTCTTTCCACCCTCCTCTGTTTCCTTTGAAAAGTGGTTTCAAGGGTAAAAGCCTTGACTGTTTATCTTAAGATGAAATTCCGGGTTAAATAGTTTAGAGTTGAAGAAACTAATGGTGTATGAGGATGTTGGCCTGTCCCGGAGACCCGCCAGCTCCTTCTTCTGGTTGCCCCGCTTGTTCTGGGCGCGTTCCCTCCCGCTTTCTCGCCTTTTGTTCGTCCTGTTCCTCTGCATCGGCTCGCCTGTTATACACTCTCCTGCTGTTGCAGTGATTGCCATAGACAATACAACATGCGTTCTCGGTTCTTTGATGTCTAATTTAACTTAGTGCTTTGACTCTTTCTGAACTATGGCAAGAAGCAAGGACAGCGCTTCCCAGGCTGTGGCGTGTGTGCGGGAGTGCAGATTCTGATCCCGTGGGTCTGGCCGCAGCCTGGCACTCTGTACTTCCAGCAGCCTCCCGGGTCCTGCCGATGCTGCTGGCGCTAGGACCACACACGGAGCAGCAAAGCCGTAGAGCACCGATTCCAAGTGTCCCGCTCCAGCCTTGCCTGCTTGCGCTGTCATGCAGTTTAACCTCACACGCACAGCACCCACGAGGCTTGTTAGCTGCATAGCACCTGCGTGCAGCATCTGCTCGCGGTCACCCGCACGCCTGCCCCCGCTGCTCTCCACTGCTTCATGCCTCTGAGCGTTTGTCAGGGGTCGTCTTCCTTAAAACATGAGCTTCCTCTAGTATTTTCTTTAAGGGGTGGGGCGTTCATGCTTGTGGTAAACTCTGTTTTTATTTGTCAGAAATATCTTTATTTTGCCTTCATTTTTTCTTTTTTTTCCTTTTTTTTGTCTTTTTTCGTGTCCGGCAACGGATTGCAACCCTCAGTGTCGCGCCCGTACTGGACCGGGACCGGCAACGGGATCGCAACCCTCCGTGCTGCGCCCGCACCTTGCTCAGCCAGTGAGCGGGAACCGGTCTGTATGTGGGATCCGAACCCTCGGCGGGAGCGCCACCACACTTCCAAGCGGCACATTGTAGCAGTGCGCCACCGGGCCGGCCCTTGCCTTCATTTTTGAAGAGTATTTTCACTGAAACTAGGTCCTGGGGTGACAGTTATTTTATTTACTTTGAGGATGTCATTCCATCATCTTCTGGCTTCCATTCTTTCCTTTAAGGAGTCAGCTGTAAATCTTGTCCTGCCTGTGAAAATAGTGTTCCCCGCCCCGGCTGCTTTCAAGTTTCTGTTGTCTTGCCTTTGATTAGCAGCCAAAGTTTTGCTGTGATATAATGTGAATCTGTAGCTTGATGTATTTTGTTAATCTCAGAAAATTGGCCACGATCTCTTCAAATATTGCTTGTGTTTCATTCTCTTCCCTCTCTCCTGCTGGGACTCTGATTACACATATGAGGCGTCTTCAAAAAGTTCATGAGAGATTCATATTATCTTTTAATTCCATTGCCCCCCTCCCCCAGGCAGCACCCCACACTGACAGCTGGTCAGTGCAGAAGTCCAAGCTCTTGACCTTGGTGTCGACAACACTGTGCTCTCACCATCTGAGCTAACCAGCCAGCATTGTAATTCTGTTTTTGCACAGACTTTCTGAAGTACCCTTGCACGTGAGAACTTCTAGTTTCCAGTGTGTCTCTGTGCTTTCATCCATGTTTTCTGTCCTTTCTTCTCTTCAGTCTGGATATTTCCTACTGAACATATTCCAGTTTTCCAGTCCTTTCTTCAGTGTTGTCTAATCTGCTGTTTATTCCATTATTGGGGCCTTAATTCAAGTTACTATATTTTTCAGTTATAGAATTTTTGTTTGTTTTTTGATACATTCTAATTCTCTGCTGACCTCTCCCTGCCGTCTTCTGAGAACTCCAGTATTGGCATCTATCTGTCTATCAGTGTCTACTTACATTTCCTGCTTTTTCTTTTGGTTTTATCTCATAGTAAGCTAAGTGCTTTTTTTCTTGAATTTTAGACATTATGTATGAAAAATTTAAAAGATGATTTGAGGCTTTGCTTGATTTTATCTCCCACCAAAGAGCAGTTCTTGTGTTCTTGAGGAGGGCAGAGCATGTTGATTAGAGATTGCGCTGGTTTGGAACTGGACTTCTCAGTCTGTTTCTGGTTAACCCTTACTGCCAGGATGCACCCCTCCAGGGCTCCCATCCAAAAGCCTGGAGTAGGGCCGGCCCGATGGCGCACTGCTACAGTGCGCCGCTTGGGAGTGCGGTGGCGCTCCTGCTGAGGGTTCGGATCCCACATACAGACCGGTTCCCGCTCACTGGCTGAGCGAGGTGTGGGAGCAACACCGAGGGTTGTGATCCCATTGCCGGTCCCGGTCCGGTATGGGTGCGACACTGAGGGTTGCGATCCGTTGCCGGACACGAAAAAAGACAAATAAAGGGGGAAAAAAAAAAAGCCTGGGGTGTTTTCCAGGGCCTCTCCTACACAGACACTGAATTCCAGTTTTTGTCTCCCCAGCTCCCTGAATCTGAGAAAGCCCTGTTCAGCCTCATACCCACCACTTCCCCCTCGACTGCCAGGCAGCTTTTGAGCTCCAACTTGGGTCTCACCTCTGCACTCCCTTCCTTCCAGGTCCTTGGTCCTTGCTGCCTTGGTGGCTCTCTGATGCCTTTAAATAGACTTCTTCAAAATCTGGCTTTTCCGAGTTTTTCTCTGCCAGAGGTTTGGTCAGTTACAAAGTAGTCACCATGGCGAGAAGCAGAGCTCCTATTTCATGCATTTGTGGAGCCCTGGCATGTTCTGGAACACTAGAGAGGTGGTGCCCCTTAGAGAGCTGTCTCCTGACATTTGTCACACTTTCATGGTTTCTGTCAGCATACGTTCCAGGCATATGTTGCTGCAGGCTTGTATTCTTGATGGAAACAGCCGCTGTGATCTATTTTGATGAATCAGTGGTTCCAGAGGTGCTGTTGTTACTGAGTCTTCCCAGCACACATTTGACGTCAGTTTAAGCTGCGGAGTGAAAGCGGGAGGTAATAAAGTATTGTAAACTCAGCTTTTGTCTGATCAGGTGTGTGATTTGTAGAGACCAAAACAATAGATGGCTTCTGAATAAACGGAGATGAGAACAATTCCTGAGTTCACCTGTTGACTTAGTTCACCCGTCTTACGGAAGCAGCTATGGGCCAGGGGTCAGAACACCTTGATCTTGACATGCCCCATAGTAGCCCTGGGCCGGGTCTCTGTCATCTGCTGACGGGGACACTGCCTGGGTCACAAGCCTGTGAGAGCTTAGCTTGTGGGGGGAGCTCAGGCATGCATTTGAAGATAAAACTAAGGTATTTTGTTTTGTTCTTCTGCTCAGATTACCCGAAAATTCAGGCTGAATTCTGAAGGCAAACTTGAACAGACAGTCTCCATGGCAACCACTACACAGCCAATGACTCAGCATCTTCATGTCACCTACAAGAAGGTGACCCCATAGTCTAGAGTAGAGCACCGGGAGCCCTCAGGAGGGGGCCTGGCTCCTGTGTCCTGACGGTTCGGCTTCTCAGCGGATGGTCCCTGCAGCAGAAGTGGGTGTGGCGTGGCTCGAGAGTATCGTCCACACGTTCCTGTAATGGCATAGAAAACCAAATAAAAGGCCTTTATTTTTATGGCTGAGGATTTTGAATATTATCACTTGTGTCGACTGTACATTTTTTCATCTGCTGATGGTTGTTTTCCAAAGTCTTTCTCTAAGAAATTAAAATGGGTGATTCTTTTATCTTTCTTTCTTCCTGCAGTTGTGACAAGATCGAAGATAGATATAAATCTTCAAGAGAGGAGTCAACGTTAAGTTGGAGACAAAAGGTGGAATAGAAAGGACAGCAGCTCCTTTTTCACTACTGTTAAAAGAGCTGAAAATCCAAGGACCCCATTTCCCTGTGGACAAAGGGCACTCCCAGGAAGAGAAGCTAGTTGTGATTGTCACATCGGTGTACACGTTTTGTTTTATAACTGTGACATACGTCACTTCTATTTTTGTGGGGTTTTTCACTATGGAAATTTCCACACACACTGAACCCTCACACCTATCACCAGCTCCGGTGTACACGTTTTGTTTTATAACTGTGACATACGTCACTTCTATTCTTGTGGGGTTTTTCACTATGGAAATTTCCACACACACTGAACCCTCACACCTATCACCAGCTTCAACGCCTGCTGGCGTTCCCACACCAACTTCATTGTCCCTCTCCAGCTTTTCCTGCTGGAGTATTTACAAGCAGATTCCAGACATAATGTCATTCACCCCTAAATGCGATGTTAGGCATCCAAAAACAAAACAAAACCATTTTCTTAACTCACCACCTTATCAAAGGCCTCACCTGGTGCATAGAGACACGGTCACACAGGTCACACAGGTGTCGGGGAGCCGAGAGTCAAAGGAGACTGTGGTCAAGGCACATGGGGCTTAACACCCGCAGGAGCAGCTGCAGCCACTGCCTCAGGGATTGGGGACACATAGGGACAAACGGTGTTCCCAGTGTGGGGTTGCCAGTACCTCAGAGCTCAGAGGAGGGGCGACGGCCAGCACGTGGGCCAAGGGGGGTGGTATTCCAGGGGCCAGGGAGGCTGGGATGGGCGGCTTTCTGCTGCTACAGTGCTGCTGAAGGAACCTGGCCTTGCCTTCCTTCCTGCATCCCAGGATCCTGCCTGCTCACCAGCCAGAAGGAGTCTGGGAGGGCAGCACCCAGAGCAGAGCAGGGAAGGTGGGGCTTGGAGCCAGGAGACAAGTGCCATTTAACACAATGTGGGAGAATTCTGTAATATTTTCTCTATTAGTCCATTTCTGTTGCTGATAACAAAATACCTAGAACTGGGTAATTTGTAAGAAAACAAAATGTACTGTTCACCGTTTCAGAGGCTAAGAAGTCCAAAGTCCAGGCAACACTTAGGGTGAGGGCCTTCTTTGGTGGTGGCTTTACCTAGAGGTCTTACATGTTAGAAAGGGGCAGAGCAGGGGCCGGCCCAGTGGCGCACTCGGTAGAGTACGGCGCTTGGGAGTGCGGCGGCGCTCCCGCCGAGGGTTCGGATCCCACATACAGACCGGTCCGCTCACTGGTTGAGTGCGGTGCGGGCGTGACACCAAGGATTGCGATCCCGTTACCGGTCACGAGAAAAGACAAAAAGGAAAAGAAAAGAAAGTGGCAGAGCAGAGGGAGAGAGAGACCTCCTCATGTGGTCTCCTTTTAAAGCACTCAGAACCACGCCCTTGACCATTAAACCATCAACTTAATCACCTGTTCAAGGCCCTGCTTTTCAGTTACCATAGTAGGATTTCCAACCCTCCACAGTTACAGTGGGAATTAGTTTCAGGGGGACATTCAGTCCAAGGCATCCCGCCCCGGCCCCCCAACACTCATGTCCTTTTCACAAACAAATATGTTCATTTCATCCCCAAAGTCTTAACTTGTTTCTACGAAAAGGTCTAAAGTTCAAAGTCCCATCTGTGAAATTAAAACTAGTTACCTACTTGCGAGATAACAATGGTGGGACAAACACAGGGTACTCATTCAAAAAGGGAGAAATAGGCCAAAAGAAAGGCATCATAGGCCCCAAACAGGTCCCAAACCCGGCAGGACAGGCATCAGATCTCAAAGGTGATGAATCGTGTACCTTGATTTCATGTCTGAGGTTCTCTGCCCACTGATGCAGGGGCTGGGTTCCCAAGTCCTCAGGCAGCTCCAACTTGTATGGCTTGGGTCTGAGGCCATGCTGCAGCTCTAGCAGGCTGGTAATGTTACATGCTGGTAGCGCAACAATTCTGGCATCTCCATGGCGGTCCTGCTCTCATGGCTCCACTAGGTGTGGTGCTGATGAGGTTTCTCTGCTGCAACTCTGACCCCACATTTCTGCTCGGCATTTCTCTAGAGAAGCCTGCATGTGCTGACTCTGCCCCTGTGACAGATCCCTTCCTGTGCCCCCAGCCTTTTCCATACATCCTTTTATGTGGGGGTGGAGGCCTAGGAGCCTCCAGGTCCTCTACAGGTCTGGCATTTTGCAAGCCTGCAGACTTAAGACGATGTAGACGCCAGGAAGGCTTCCACCTTGTGTTTTCCCAAGCTGCGGTCCAGCCACACCTGAAGCCAATTTAGCCACAGCTGGAGCAGCCAGAGCAGCCAAAGCAGCCTGGGTGCTGGTGCAAGGACCAGCAGCATCCCAGGGTGGCCCTGGCAGTGAGGCTGTGGAAGGCACGTGAGGCCTGTTCCCCTAGACCATTGTCTCCCGAAGGCCTCTGGGCCTGCAATGGTAGAGGAAACCTCTGAAATACCCTCAAGGTCTTTTTCCTGTCTTCATAGACCTTTTTTCTACACTAATCTCCTTAGCAAAGGGCCCCTGGGCTACAACCTTGCTTTTGTGGCCAGACTGAAAGTTTTCCAATTTTTTGCCCTCTGCTTTCTTTTGCTTTATAAGTTCTGGTTTTATGTTGTTATTCCTTTTCTGCCATAACTCAGCGTAGGCTGTTGCAAGTAGCCATGCGACTTCCTGAATGCTTTGCGGCTTAGAAATTTCTTCCACCAAACACCCTGGTTCAGCACCTTGAAGTTCCACATCCCATAAAACTTTGCGGCATGAACAGAAGGCAGACAAGTTCCTTGCCAGCTCACAGCAAGGGTGATCTTTGCCCCAGTTTCCAATAAGTCCCTTGTCATTTACGTCTGAGATCTCAGAGTGGTCTTCACTGCCCATATTTCTATCAGAATTCTGCTCACCACCGTGGAACCAGTCTCTACGTTCCAAACTTTCCCTGGTTTTCTTATCTTCTAAACTTCCACCAGCAACCTTTTTCTAGCCTCTCCAAGTTCTTCCAGCCTTTCTTCAATACTCAATTCCAAAGCTGCTTCCACATTTTCAAGTATTTGTTATAAGCAACACCCCATTTCTCTGGTACCAATTTCCTGTGTTCATCCATTTCTGTTGCTTATAACATAAATACCTGAAACTGGGTGATTTATAAAGAAAACAAAATTTATTACTTACAGTTTTGAAGGCTGGGAAGTCCAAAGTCCAGGGAACACTTATGGTGAGGGTCTTCTTTGGTGGTGGCTTTAGAGCACCCCAGGGGTCTCACATGGTAGAACATGGCAGGCAGAGAGAGGGACTCACGTGCTCTCCCTTTAAATCCTCAGCTCCACGCCCCTGGCCACCATTAAACCATCAGCTTAATCACTTCAAGGCCCCACCTTCCAATTACCGTAATAGGATTTCCCACTCTCCACAGTTATAGTGGGGATTATGTCTTGAGGGGGCATTCAACCCAAGGCAGTTTTCTAATACCCAGTCCCTATCCACATTTCCTAATTGTCCGACATGTCTTTGTACAGTTGGCTTGTCAAAGCTTTATCCACTCCTCATGTTTGGTTGTGATGTCTTTTAGGATCCTTTGATCCAGAACAGTCCCCCTCTTCCCTGCCCTGTACCACCGACTTGTTGGCGAAGCTGGTCACTTTTCCTAGAAGGTGTTCCCAGTGCAGATTCAACCGACATCCTCCTGTAGTGTTTAACGTGTTCCTGCGAGCCCCCTGCCCCATTTCCTGTCCTCTGGAAGTCGGATCTACAGATCTGGCTGGATCCTCAGTTCACCTTGCAGCACGTGAGGAGCCCCATGTCTGCTCATCTCACTTTGTTGATGCTAAAATTAACAGGCTTGGGTGGTGACAGCCCGGCCACTTATTGTCAGTTTTCCATCAACTTTTCTCTTGAAAGTTTTGCCACCTGTGGGTGAACGTTGCCTGACCCGTTACCAATGTTAGGATTGCGGAACGGTTGTCTTCTGACTCATTACTTCTGCAGTGAGTGGCTGGAATTCTCTCAAAATTTCCCTAGGCCGCCTGGTTACCCTGAAGGAAGCTCACACCAGGAAGCGGCATAAACTCTTCATTCTTTCCCGGGAATTATCAATGTTTAGAGTAAGGATGCGCTGGCAACCTCCAGGGCTCGGAGGGTCCCTCACGCCACCCCTCCACTCTTACACTCCTATGTGAACCTAATACCTTTTATGTGTAACTGATGTAATTTGAATCAAGTGCTGACGTTTTCTTCAGCAGACCAGAGGTGCTCGGACGGCCGCCTTGCTCCAGCAGTCGCCTCTGACACGTCCAAAGCCTGACTCTCGTTAGTGGGGACTGGGGACTGGAGACCAGACTGCCACTGACGTGCTCACGGCAGCTGGGCTGCTCACATGGACAGAACCAAAAACCCATTTTATAACCTGTTTTCTCATTTATTTTCACTGAACCATGTGAGACGACATTGCAGGGACCATGACCCTTCACCCCTCGCTACTTCAGCAAGGGATATACATTTATATACAATTATAATATGCACGTGGGCCAGCCCGTGGCTCACTGGGAGAGCGTGGTGCTGACAACACCAAGTCAAGGGTGAAGACCCCCTTACCGGTCATCTTTTTTAAAATAAATAAATAAATAACAACAGTAAAATATATATGAATTTATAAACATTTATACGCACTTAAAATATTTAGGAGTTTACACTAATGTTTCCAATTCAAATTTTAAGATTATAAGGGTTTTTTGTTTTTACTCACTCACATTCTTTGAGTTTTTCTCTTTCCCTTAAGCTGAAAATCTTGGTTCATTACATTAACATTGTTTTACCCTACAGGAAACACATAATTATTTCAAAATAATAATAGTTATTAACAATAAGACGACTGATTGAAATTTGATTTTTTTTTACTATTCTTTTTACACTTTTCCCATTGCTATAGTTAAAATATGATATAATTGGAATAATTACCTGTGTGCTTACCTCACTAACTTGAAACACAAGTTCATTTTTTTTTTAATTTCTAAAAATCGATCGTTCTTTTGTTTAACTTAGTTTTGCCAATGCAAATCGTTTTATGTGGTTTTACTGTCAGAATCACAAAGGAAGGTACACAGGCAGCTGTGCCACGGATCCAGCAGATCCCCTAGTGCTGGGCCTTTGGGCTGTTTCCAGTCTTCTGCTAATCAAATAATGCCACGATGAATAACTTGTGTGCGTCATTTTGGATTTGGGGCAGTGTATCTTTGGGGATAGATTTCTAGAGGTGGGACTGCCAGTCAGAGGGCGAATGTTTACCCAGATTATTTACGTGTCGTCCCTTCCCCCCACAGGGGCTGGTCGTTTCGTGGCCCCGCAGCATTGCATCAGGTGCCTACCCCATGGACAACAGGGTCTGGTGTCAGGTTTGGCTTTGGGTCAATCTAATAGGTGAGGAATGGCACCTTCGGGTAGTTTTGGTTTACATTTCTCTTATTTTTTATCTTTCTCCTTTTGATTTTTGGAATTCATGAGCTTTTTTGAATTAGGAATATTAATCCTAACATCCCTCATTTTAAGTTAGAATTTCTTTATTTAGGTAAAATGCACATAACATAAAATTCAACATTTTTAACCACCTTAAGGTGCACAATTTCCTGGCATTTAGTGCATTCGTGTTGTACAACCACCACCTCTATCTACGCCCAAAACTTTCATGACCCTAAAGGAAACCCCATACCCATAAAACCCCACTTCCCCTCCAGCAGACCCTGACAACCGCTACTCTGCCTTCTATCTCAAGTTACCAACATTTTTGAAAATGTTATAGTTTTTTCCAGTATGTATTTTGTCTTTTATTGTTCCTGGATTTTTTTTTTTTTTTGCGGCTGGCCGGCACAGGGATTGAACCCTAGACCTTGGTGTCACCAGCACCGTGATATAACCACCTGGGCTGACCAGCCAGCCCTGTTCCTGGGTTTTAAATCGTATTTCAGAAGATTGTGCCCGCTCCTGGTAACAAAGGAATTCACCCATTTTTCCTAGTACTTGTTGCATTTTTTGTGCTTAGTGCTCGACCCATTTGGAATCTGTGTCGGGGACCAGCGTCAGGTACGGATCCACTTCAGTCTCTTCCAAGTGGCAGACGGTTGTCTCAATACTTAAAAAGTCCACGTTCTCCTCACTAGGATGAGATGCCTCTTTCACCGTAGACTTGATCTCCTCGGCACTGGGCTCCATCCCTGGATTCCCCATGCGCCTGTGCCTGTCCCTCCACGCTTGTCCCGGTGCCACGTGGCCGAGCTGTCGAGGCTCAGGGGAGGCTCCGTGGCGGGGGGACGAGGCGCTCCCGTCTTCCTCGGGGCTTTCCTGACGTTTTCTGTCTCTCTGTCTCTGTCTCTCTGTGTCTCTCATGAACTTTTTAATTAGGTCCAGGGGGAAAAAGCATTCTGGTGTTTTTATAGGATTACATTAAATTTACATCTTTACTTATGGAGAGTTGTCTTGTTTATGAGAGTTTTCCTATCCAGGAACGAGGTATGTCTATCTGCTCAAATCTATTTTGGTGTCTTTAAATTTTATTTAAAGTTTCGCTCATTTAGGGCTTGGCATTCTGTTTCCTTTATGCCCAGGGATTCTACCTTTTTGTTGCTGTCGGAAGTGGGTCATCTCTTCCCGCCTGGCTGAGTGCGTATATAAAGACCGGTGATCTCTGCGTGATCTCTAAAGCTGCTGCTTTTCTGAATCCTCTTAGTGTTTGCGACATTGCTTTCTTGTGCTGGAAATACACCAAAGGATTTGATCCGAGACGTGTATGACAGGAAGCCCAGGCAGGTGAGGCGGCCTGGCAGGCGCACTGACCTTCTTGTCCCCTCTTTCCTCCACCCCTTCTCCTGCTCACAGCTGCTCCCATCTGCTGTCCACCGGGCAGGTGTCGCTGAGATCCCCCCAGCTGGTGGTTATGGTGTCGGCCCTGAGCCAGACCTCCCAGCTGGGGAGCATCACAGGAGCAGGCAGGGCTTCACAGGAGGGACCCAGGGGTGGGGGCCCAGGAGAGCAGCGGGGGGCCTGGAGGTGGACACTGGGGAAGGGAAGGGGCGAGGGTGGGCTGCTCAGGGGTCTTGGGGACCTTGGGCACAAAGACCTCATCGTCAGGGACTCTTGCTTCATCAGGAGGCTGGACAGAAGCACAGGGCTGGGAGACCTTAGCCATCGTCTGCCTCAACCCTGTGATGTTCAGAAGGGAAAACTGAGGCTGAGAGAGGCATCTGTCTTCCTTCTGGCACTGTGTGCCCTGCGACCCAAGCGTCCCCGCATCGGGAAGCGGGGAGCGTGAGATGGGCCCGTGGGACAGGCGGACATACAGGAAGCTAAAGGGAGAGGGGTGAAATGACCTGCACAGACCGAGGGGACCGTGGACAACTGGGCTGCTGGGAAATCTGGCACGTGTGCCTGGTGCATGTGACTGTGCAGGTGCACACGTGTGTGCTGCGCACAGGAGCAGTGTCATGCACGTGGTAGAAGAAGACAGCCTCCATTACAGGAACTGGGATAATCCCACGTGGAGATTTCAGAAACATCCACGCACAGGAGCAGTGTCATGCACGTGGTAGAAGACAGCCTCCATTACAGGAACTGGGATAATCCCACGTGGAGATTTCAGAAACATCCACACTTCATGTTCATCCTACTGGCTTCCAGCAGTGCCCAGTGCCCAGAGGAAAGTGTGTGCGAGCCTCATGGGAAACGGTGGTCCACCAGCCTTGCCCTTGGGGTCCCCATTCTGGAGGGGCAGCGGTGGTGAGAAAGCGCTGGAGCTCTCTTCCCACGTGACTCCCCAGCTAGCAGCACCGTGTCACCTGTGGGCTGCTGGAGACACACACCCGAGCCCAGCAGAGCTGAATCAGAGCTCCAGGGCCTGCGCCTGGTGCTGTCAGTAGGGAGTCCCCTTGCTGAGGGCCCGGGGAGGCTGCAATCCAGGCATTAGGCCGGGTCCTGAGGGACAAGGTAGAGGAAGGCAGAGAACTGCAGGGGGAGGAGGACAAATCCACCCTGACGTCCCTCTCCCTGAGCCTTTGAATCCCTCCCCTCCTCCGTATGCCAGGGGACATCGGGCATTTCCAGTTCACTCGTGCTGGGCCACATTTGGTCCACGTTTTGCCAAACAACCAAATGGCTGAGGTCCTTTCTAACTCCCCCCCGGCCCCCGAGCTGCCACAGTAGACGCAGAGTCTCTGCTGGGTGAGCCCTCCGGCCACTCTCCCTGCCCTCGGGACGCACTCCCGCTCGTTCCCTGGATCGCTGCCTAAATTCAAACTCGGCTTCTGCAGGGCAGCGCACCTCCTCATGGGTCATGCTTGGCACCCCCTTTAGGGGTCTGCTGGGACTTCAGTCCAGTCACAGGTCTCGAAGCAGAGGGTGGGGGTGGGTGCCGAGGACAAGCAGCCTCGTCTTGCTCGGCAACCCCTTGGGTTTCCTCCGGCCACATAGAGCCTGTCCCCTCGGACAGGGGTGGAAAGGCCATCAATGCCAGTGAGGAAGCCTCTTCCACTGGCAAAGATGATGCACTGGAATATCAGAATTTAGGGGCTCAGCGTCTGCAGCTTCACCCACGTCCTCCCACACATCCCCATCTCAGCTTTCAGGGTCCCAACCCTTCCGTCAGTGCCTCACCTTACAGCAGACACCCTGTGAGGCTGCGAGGTCGCCTGTGTTCTCATCCAGCCACTGAAGGAGGAGCTTCCGGGCTTGATTCTCAGTAGGCCTAGCCCTGCAGCTAACGGAGGCGAAGGTCTCCCTCGGGGCAGACGTGAAAACTTTCAGGTTATTTATGTCCTCAGCTCGTCCCCTTCTCTCTTCATTTTGTCCAGTGCAGTCGGGATGACCGGGCCATCCCATTACAGTCCCCATCTCCACTCACACGTTCTGTGGCCTCCCCAACCTTGCCTTCTGGAACTCTCTGCAGGAGCAGCGGGCGGCGTTCTGCGTTTCTCTATGACCACCTCGCACACAGACTACCGTGCTCTTCTACTGTTGCAAACAGGCATGAGTGCCTTTAAACCCCACCAGACTGGAGCACCAGTTCCAGAACACCCCCCACTAGACTACTCGCTAGCAAATCCTCCAGATCTTCCACTGTTTCACAGGTAAAGGCTATTTAACACAGTAGGAGTGACACTTTGTCTAAAAGGAAAATAATTGTTTGGAGAGGTTTATTACCAGCCTCTGCCCTCCAGTGGGACTTGAACTCCACATGGTTCTGTGGCTGGCTTTCTGCAGCTTTCCTGCTGGCACGTGGCCCACCCGTACGCAGCCTGGCAGGGAGGGCTCAGGGGGTGGCTTTTGGATGGCAGGCTGCAAGGCCAGGCCTCATTCCAGGGCCGAGCCCCAGGGTGGGTATGGGGAGCTACAGAGGAAGGATGGCCGTGCACGCAGCCTGGGTCATCTGAGCGCTGTGCTGCGCGGTGCTGGGTGGGGCCGGCGAGGGGCTGCAGGGAGGACGCCTCTCACGTGCCCGGCCTGGGGAACTGTGGTTGGCAGGGGACTCCGGTACATCCTTAGGAGCTGGGCTTTCCCAGCATCTGAGTTCTTAGGGACCCTGAAGGGCACGTCCTGGGTGATCATATGAAGATGGAAAAGCAGATGAGGAAAGAAAGTGGATGGGGTCACTCTCACCCTCCACTAACGTGAAACCGTACTGGGATCTAACTCACATGGACAGTCCTTCTCACCCACAGCCCCACACCTGTTCCCCCCTGACAAGGACTGTCCCAGGGGCAGGACACACTCTCCCTCCATAAATGGGCTCAGCAACCAGCACATGAGCCTTATGCTTTGTTTACAGGGTCAGTAAGACGCCACAGCTCCTCCAGCTATGGCCAGGCCAGGTCCTGAGATGGCCCCTTTCCTGGGATGGGACCCCAGGGCATCAAGTGAGGACACGGTGTTCCAGGTCCCTTCCTCTGGGGTCTGGGGCTTGACCTGACTTCCTGGCCTTGGAAGGAAAAGGGAAGAGGCAGGGCTCTGGGCGCAGGGGAGCCCCTCTCCCCTCACTCTCTACAGAGGGCCTGGGTCTGCAGGGGGAGGGGCTCAGGGTGGGGCCTCCAGCATGCAGGTGTGTGAAGTGCTCCCTGCTCGGGCGGGGAGGAGGGAGATGCTTTCCGGGTGCTGCGGGCCTCCTGGGTTTGGCCCGGGGCTGGGCTGCGGCCATCGCCCGGGTGCAAGGCTCATCTCTCTGGCAAGAGCACGAAGAAGGCAGCTCTGAGAAGGCGGCCGACGCTGCAGAGCGCAGCCACGAGCCAGTGGGAGCGGAGGCCGGGGTCTGTGCTGACCACACACTTGAGGACATCGGTCTGGGAGGGAAGAGGTGACAGTTAGAGAGCAGAGCCAAGACCGCCAGGCCCCCAGCACCCTGCCCCTGAACGTCGGCCGAATCCCATGGCCATGAGGATTCAGATGGTGAAGAGGGAACGGAGGAGCTCGAGGTGGGCAGAGGAGGCAGCTGGACCTTGCCAGGCAGTAGAGAAGCCTGGTGTGCCCCACACCTGGGTGCTGGCTCCCAGCTCGGCCACCTGCCTGCTGCCCACAGCAGTTACAGACAGCCCAGCATTCTTCTATGGGCCCTTGGAGCCTGGGCTGCCAGTGAAAAAGGGATCCAGCTTCAGACTCTGACCCTTGGAACTAGAGCAAGAACTGAGTTTTCCAAGAGCCTAAAGGAGACCCCGGATATCTTAAGTCCCCTCTAAAAGAGTGAATGAATGTCCATTCTTTGTTTTCTTCTTTCTTTCTGTCCCTACTGAGAAACGAAGTCTTTTCGCTATAGCTTGGACCTTTGGCTGAAAGTGTCCTGCCCCACCCCCACTGGTCGCCCACCCCACAGTGGTGACCACCCCTTGCTAGGCCCCACAGGGAGAAAGGCAGGAAGGACAGAGGTCTTGGTGTCTCTATGCTGACAAGTGTCAGGAGCCGTCTGAGTCATCCTCCAGATGGGACCACAGCCCCAGCTGATGGACAGACTTCAATGTCATGAGACCTTGAACCACAGTCCCCCAGCAGAGGGGACTGAGCTCTGTCACCCTGGGCTGCTTGTCCACACCCATTTCACAGGGGAGAAAACTGAGGGCTCTCTGGTGGGGCCAGCCCTCCACGCCCAGGGCCCGGCAGCGCCTGTGGTTTGGCTAGGGCTGGAGGCATGGGCTTAAGGAGGGTTTTAAGGAGGACTTCACGCTGATGCCCACCCCTCGGGGCTCTGCTTACCCTTCTTTGGGGTGGGCAGGGGCTGGGCTTGGCACCAGGAGGGGAGGCGGGAGGTGGGGGTGCTCTGAGCAGGGCAGGGATTTTCCCTCTCAGAGGGCCCGAGTTCTGCTTCTCCCAGGCCCAGGCAGGCGCCTGGGGACAGCAGGTCTTTAGCTTAGAGTGGGGGGCAGGAAGTGGGGGGCCGAGAGGACAAGTCAGTTCAGGATCTGAGCAGTGGAGCAAGCCCAGTGCCAGTCTGGGGTCTCAGAGCTGCCCTGGGCCCCGCAGCCCTTCCCTCTGGCACGCCCTCCCCCCACGTCCTGCACCAGTGCTCAGATGCTCACCCACCCAGCACCCCTCCCGGCACCCCCTCCTGGCCCTTGGGGGCTCACCCATCCGCCACGCCTCCGAAGCCAGGTGGCCAGGGTCTTGCGCACGAACTCCCCCAGGCAGTCGACAAGGGCGTGGACCATGGCAGGCTGGGCCTGCCGCACGCAGTCCACGGCCAGCCCTGCTGCCACCGCATACAGGGACACTACCTTGCCCCACGTGATGCCTGCAGGCAGAGAGACATCACTCATCAGCGGGAGAAGCCACTGCCAAGACCCAGGCTCAAGTCCAGCCCATGGGGTCACATGAAGGGGCTGAGCCTCTCTGAGCCGCTTTCCTGCCTGCCATCCAGCTGTGACCAGGGACGGCACCAAGGTCCCCACCTGACAGGGTGCCCAGCCAGCTGACCACCTGGTGTGAGCCTGGCCCACCCTCACGGGCAGTTCTCAGGCAGGTGGAGGTTTCTGAGCCTTCGCTGCACAGCTGTGCGGCCCACTTCTGACAGAGGAGGCCACAGGGACAGCAGGGCAGCAACTGAGCGCAGGGGGAGGGGGGGTGACTAGCAGCTGGACGACACACAGTGTGAGCAGCTTCAAGGACACTGCTGCCCCGGCTTGTCTATTCATTTGAACAGCCCCACGGGTGCAGCAGGACGGAGCCTGGCGTCCACATTTTACATACAGAGAAGCTGACGCCCACGGGAGGACCCTCCCTGCACCATTAACAGGCAGAGCCGAGTTCGGGCCACCAGGAAGGAGAAGGCAGGTGAGCAGCAATCCAGGGGGTGCTGGCAAGTTACACCATGTGAGGTTTCCTTCATATGTAAAGAGGTTTTATGAATCAATGAGAAAAAAGAGAAAATTCTCAAAAGAAACATGAGCAACACGAACAGCTGATTCACAAAAGGAAAAATACAAATAACACATCAGACGTATGAAAAATGTTTGCCTCACATCAAGGAAAGGTAAAGCTAACACGAGAGGTCGGTGTGACCTGTCACACTGAAACTGTCAAAAGGCAGCATGAGAACGCAGGCAGCTGCACCGTGGGAAGGACAGCTGGGGCACACGCTGATATCTGAAAAGGCCACAAAACACGCGTGCCCAGCAGGGGTCCTTGTAGGCAGCTGGCCCAGGAGTAGCACATGCCGAGATCACACGTCCCTCTCCAAACCTTCACACAGCAGCAGGGCAATCTCTAATGCAAACACGTTAGCTCGAATACCTGTTCTCCAATGTTCCCAGCAGCACCACTCACAGCAGCCAAAGGTGGAAACAACCCAACTGTCCACCAGTGGAGACTGGGCGAAGGAAACGTGCAACAGCCACGCAATGGCGCAGTGTTCGGCCACGAAAAGGGATGAGGCCCTGACACATGCTGCAGTGGGACGGGCCTCCAGATGCTGCGCTGCGTGAAAGCAGCCAGACACAAAAGGCCACCTATCGGAAAAACCCATTTAAATGTCTAGAGAAGACACCGATCCCCAGAGACAGGAGGCACATCAGGGGTGGCCATGGGGCGGGGCGGGGGTGGGGGTAGGGGCGTGACTGCCACGGGTTCTTCTGGACTGATGACAACTCCCGAAACCAGAGGGGCAGCAGTCGTGCCACACCAAACGCACTGGACGCCACTGAATTGTACACTTTAAAAAGGGGGTGATTGTATGTTACACGAGGGTACTTCAAAATGTGCGTGGAAAATCAGAATTAAAGCACAACACGAATATTTCCATGAACTTTAGAAGACCCCTCATATGAATTTCATCTCGGTAAAAAGAAATGGAAATCAAAAAACAAAACAAAAAAGAAATCACACCATGTGACTCTCCTACTTAAAACTCTCCTATGGCTGTTCCTTTCCTTGTTTTTCAAAATAAACCCAAGTCTGAAATCCCAGCTGAGCTGTCCCCTGGCAGCCCCCTGCCCCCCGGCCTAATGGCACACTTGTCACTGCTCGAACACGCACACCCGGCACAGCCCTGCTCCTCTGCCAGCTCTGCTTCCCCACCCCAAAGGGTTCTGTTCAAGGTCCCCTCCTCCGAGTGCCACCCAGACCAGCAGGGCATCAGTGCCTCGAGACCGTGACCCGAGCCACGTCCCCAAGCAGGCTGTTCTGCTGCCGCTGTGGCCTTGGTGCCCGGCCGGCGCAAGTGGAGGCCAAGGACGCTCACGTCGGGACTGCGTGCCATGGGGTCTGTCGTCTGTGCTGCTTTCAGAAGAACACCTCATTCTGCGCACGTCACTGGATAGCTGCTCGCAGTCCTGATGGGGAACACTGGGGTCCCTGAGACAGCTGGGTCAGCGTCCGGAGGGATCAATGCGAAGGACAGAAAAGCAGGAAGGTGCCAGGGCGGGGGTGGCCTCCGGGGGTGCGCCTCGGGCGGCTCCTGTCCTCTCCGAGCCTTTCTGGGTTCTCCTTTTTCATTGAAATCTAATACCATTACCATAGAATTAACCTTTTAAAAGTGGAAGATCAGCCTATTATCACACCCAAGGTCAAGGGTTCGGATCCCGTACTGGCCGGCGCCAAAAAACAAAAAGGTGGGACACCGTTTTTAGGACATTCACAAGGCTGGGTGGCCATCAGCTCTACCTAATTCCAGAACATTCTCATTGCCCCACAAAGAAACCCGCACCCATGAGCGCTCACTGCCCGCTTCCCGCCAGCCCCTGACGGCTGCAATCTCCATTCTGTCTTTACAGATTTACCTGTTCTGGACATTTCACATGAAAGGAAGCGGACGATATGCTCCCTTTTGCGTCCGACATATTTCCCACAGTGCGACGCGTTCCAGGTTCGCCCACGCTGCAGCACCTGCCCGAGCCTCATTCTTTTTTGTGGCCGAACAATATCCCACGGTAGGGACGGGCGTGTTTGTCCTCCCCCTCGTCACCAGATGGACATCCGGGCTGTTCCTGTCCTTTGGCTGCTCTACACAATGGTGCTGTGAACACTCCGTGCACGTGTTTCATTTCTCCTGGGCACATGCCTGGGCACACGCCTGGGCGAAGATCTGCTGGCTGACGTGGTAGCTCCGTGTTAACCCCTTGCGGAGCCTGCAGACTGTTCTCGAAAGCCGCCGCGCCTTTCACATGCCCACCAGCAGCGTCGAAGGTTCTGGTTTCTCCACATCCTGGCCACGCTCAGGTTTGTTTGTTTGTTTGTTTTTAAAGATGACCGGTAAGGGGATCTTAACCCTTGACTCGGTGTTGTCAGCACCACGCTCAGCCAGTGAGCGAACCGTCCATCCCTATATGGGATCCGAACCCGTGGCCTTGGTGTCATCAGCACCGCACTCTCCCGAGTGAGCCACGGGCCGGCCCTTGTTTGTTTGTTTTTATGGCAGCCACCCTGGAGTGGCTCTGATGTGCAGTTTCCTGTGACTGACGATGCTGAACATCTTTCCATGTGCTTGTTGGTCATGGAGACATCGTCCTTGGAGAAATGTCTGTTCAGAGCCTTTGCCCATCTCTTCATTGGGGTGTCCACTCGTTAGTATTGATTTGTGGGCGTTCTTTACTTCTTCTGTATTTTCTGATCTTTCTGTGGTAAAATATTCTGCTCTTATAATAATAAGAAAAAAATGAAAACTACTGCCAACTTTTAACTGGGGAGAGAAGTACCTGGCTTGTTAGCTCAGTTGGTTAGAGCATGGTGCTGATAACACGAAGGTCCAGGGTTCAACCCCTGGGCCAGCCAGCCACAAAAAAAAAAAAAGCCTGCCTAACTGCGGAGAGAAAAATGAGTTTTTCCACTGGCAGGAACTTTGGAGCCCAAAGTGAAAACAATCAGAAACAGCATGGGTTGCCTCTGCCTTTGTGGGGCTCAGCTGTTCTGCCACCTGGGCCTGGAAGCTTGGAGAGGCCACCACGGAGCCCTGCCCTGCAGCCCTCAAGCTGCCCACATCGTAGCCACAGCCCCAGCCCCGGCCAAAGCCAGAGGAGGCAGCACGGGCTGGGCCAGCTGCCCTCAGTGGCGAGGCCAGGCGGGGCCGCACCCCAGGGGCACTAGCCAAGAGGAGACGAAGCCCGAGGGTCTGAGTGTGTAAGGCTGGCTGGTGTGGGAGGGTCTGCGGGTGAAGGGTGGGAGTGGGCACTGATGGCTAAGGACACTCTGAAGGCAAACGGGTCCAAAGACCTGAGAAATGCGATGGACAAAGGGCGAAGGCTGGGGCAGTCAGGAGCTGGTCTGAGGGGGACAGTCCGAGAGCCAGTGAGTGGCAGAAGGGGGCAGACCTGTGAAACCATTCTCCCAGGCAGCACTGTTTCTGCTCCCCAGTCATGTGGCTCCGAGGTTCAGAGAGGTTAAGAAACCAGCTGCAGGTCACACAGCCCTGCCCACAGCAGCAAGGGGCCGGGTGGGGTGTGGAGCTGCCACCTGCCGGCGCTGGGTGGGGTGGGGGCTGCTGACCTTGGAGGGGCAAGCTCTGCTCCAGGGGCTGGGGCTGCTCTGTCCTGGCTCCATCCTCTGTCCCCTGCCCACACCCGCCACCCAGGGGCCCAGCCCCAGCTCCCCGCTCCATAGCAGCCACCAGCAGGCCAGAAACAATCCTTTTAAAGCCAGCCCACAGCTCATAAACCAGCTGGCCTGACAACCTGGAGACGGACACCAGGGAGGCCACCCACATGCCGGCAGTCAGCCGGGAAAGCTCCAGGGAGGGCCGAGGTGGTTGTCAGCCTGGGACACCTACTGCCAGCCCCTCCTGGCTGCCATCCTGGGCCCCACCTGCTGCAGCCTGCTCCAGGTGCCTGCCCGGGTCCCCGTCGACGGAGGGGCTGGCACCTGGCCACCAGCTCCTACTGCAGAGCTCCTGTCCCTGCCCCTGCCCCCCACGCAGTGCTACACCCCACACCCCTGCCCCAGCCCCTGCTCCTGTGCTCGGCCTCTTCACCGTTAGCTGACCAGGCCTGTCACACCGAGCTCCTCAGCCTGGCCTGGGCCTGCTGCCCTCCTGGTAAAGCCCACACTGGGACCTCCACCCCCAGCCCCACCAGGGAGACCTGAACAAGGTCAATTTATTTACAAATCTCCCGAAGAACACGGGAGCAGTGACAGAGTCCAGGCGCTGGGGCCACCCTGAGGAGCACTGGACAGGGAGTCCTGATACCCAGTGCTGGCTTGGCCACCTCACCCCACGCCACGGCCTATGGTCACCTGCTCCCCATCCGGTGTGGTCTGGGCCACTCCAGGGCCACGCCAGTATGTGCCGTGGCAATGGGGCAACCCCAGGGGACAGGTCCAGACACCATCTGGACCCCCTTCCCTTGTCATTCCAACAGCCCACATGGCCTTTCCGGCTCACTCAGTGCTGGCCACGGGGACTTCGTCCAGGGAGGTCAGCAGTGAGCAAGCCGACTACCTCGAGTTCCCTGCCTCACCAGCCACCAACCGAGGGAGGCCCGCCCGAGTCAGGCCCCCGACGTCCCCAGCCATCTGGCCTGCCCTCCAGGGGTTGGGGGAGACGCCTTGGGAGAAGACACTGGCGGTCAACACTCAGTAACCCCACAAGGGGTGGGGCCGTGGGGTTGGGGGCCTGCCTCTGAGTGGATGCAGTGGTCCCCCCACTTTTGGTCTCTTGTCCTCATCTTTTGGGTAGGCAGGGGTCACTGAGCCATGTGAAGGCCCCCTGGCTCTGCGGGCCCCCTCAGGATGTGGGCGCCCCTTCACACGCGGGGACCGTGCCCTAAGGCCCTGCTTCCACCGCCGTTCAGATCAACTACGAGGCACAGGCTGAGGTTCTAGAACTGCAGCAGCTCACAGAGGAGGGTGTGCAAGGCCTCCCTGCTGCCCAGGGCCCGCCAGCCACTTTCCACCCTGCAGTGGGGCATCCTCCAGAAAGCCCCAGGGGGAATGTGGCCTGCCCCGTTCCGAGCTTTGGGGCATCCTGTCCATTGCAGGATCCCCTGGCCCAGAGCAGCACTCAGTGCCCAGACGGTGCTCAGGAAACACCTGAAGGATTCGTCGATGGAGGACGTGCTGCACTGGGGCTGGACTCCATTCCTCCCAACAGCAATGCCCCGTGCCTGCCAGAGACCAGTGGCAGACTCACAGAGTGCAGGGTGGCAGGACAGGACCTGAGCTCTGTGGGGTCAGACCTGACAAGGCTGGACAAGCAGACAGAAGTCACCCTGCGCAGAGCCAAGTGGAAGCAGCTGGCAAGAGGACAACAGGGTACACAGCAGGGTTCCAAAGAGGGACACAAGGACAGGAGGGCTTGGGGGGGTGAGCTGTAGACGGTGTGCACAAGGGACGCGACAAGCTGAATTTGGGGCACAGGCACAAGGGAGGAGGCAGCAGGGGCTGAGAGGCTGGGCTGGACTGTCACCTACTCCTAGGGCAGATGTGGAGGCACCCAGGGGTGAATGTGGGCACAGCCAGGTAAGGCAGGTGTGTCTCTATTCTCCAAAGGTGCCCAAGCCAGCCACTCTGCCGAGGACTCATGCACTTGTGCCATCCCCTCCCCTTGATGCCAGATGCCTGAGATTCACCTTTGACCAAGAGAATTCAGCAGAGCAACCTGTGGCTGCTGAGGGCACATCGTAAGAGACTGGCAGTGCTCTTGACCACTCCGCCGGGAACCCAGTGCCATGCTGTGACCCAGCACTGGCAGCCCTGGGACTTGCTGCCCCGTAGGACAACAGGTCACAGCAGCCCCGGCCGATGCCAGACCACACCCGCCAGCTGCCCAGCAGGCCCATCAGCGCTCAGAACCAGGGAGGCACCATACATCGCTGTCTGAGTGGCACGACCTGGGCTGGTCTGTTGCCCTGCTAAGACAACCCCATCAGCAAGGAGTGACCGGTGGCTCAGGGACGCTGCGGGATCATCCCATGGGGTTCCTGAGAGGCTTGGGCTCCCCTCCCTGAGGTCCCTTGGGGTGACATGCCAGGCCTACCTGCAGAGAAGATGTGACCTGCCACAGCCAGGAACGCATCAGTCACCACAGGCTCAGACTGCAGGGAGATGTGCAGCTGCCGTGCCACGTTGCGGTAGACACTGGGCCGGATCAGCTCCAACTCGTCCCCTGTGTAGTCACGTGAGCAGGTCAGAGGCAGCCTGCCTTCATGCCAGCCTGCGCCGCGGCCCACTTGGCCACAGGCAGCAAGTGGACCCTGCCACACATCTGACCTAGTCCGACCTCACATGACCTCTGGTCTGATCCCCACCGCTACTTTACTTGGCCCTGGTCCTGGTCCCCCCTTAACTGGTCTGATTCCCACCCCTAGTTGATCCCACCTGACCCCCCCAACCTCAGCACCAAGGGACAAGAGGACCAGGGAGGTGCTGTGGGCACTCGCAGTCCTGCCTCCGTGGTGCCGCCCCTTCTGCCAAGCCAGCCCCCGGGGGCCGAGCCGGCCGGGCCGGTGGAGCGAGAACCTGCAGAGGAGCGTGGGCCACGCCTGCTCGGTGACTCACTGAACTGAGCTGCCCAGGCGGCAGGAGGGACCAGGCAGGCGACCAGAGCCTAAACTGCTGAGGGGCCAGGTGGGGAGAGCCCACAGGTGGGCAGCGCTGCCACTGCCTCCGTCCTGGCTCAGGCCCTGGCACTGCTCGGTGGTGGCTCGGGTGAACTGACTCAGAGTTGCGGAGCCAGTCACCAGGCCACCAGCACCACACACGCACCGACCTGGGCTCCCGGTGCCAGGCGGGTGTGTCCGGACATGGCAGCAACGGCTGAGCAGGGTTGGGCCGAGGAAGCGCCTCCCAAAGGCCCCGCCTGGCCGCTGGGAAGACGTGCGGGAATCCCACACAGCCCCGGGACTGGGTGTCCCCAGCCAGCCACTCCCCTGCCTAAGCAAACAGGGAAAAGCTGCTGACTGGACTGTCCTAGCGATAAGGGCGGCGTGTCATCCCTGGGGCCAGCTGTGCTCCATCTAATCGATTGAGACCCAGAATCAGCAGACGGAGGAGAGGCCAGCCAGGAGGGTGACGGGTCGCTTGGAAATCCCCGGGGCCGGCCTAGCTGTTCCCACACACAGACCTCGGGGGCCACTGGGGACCGGCCCCAAGGGACTGACTGCAAGGACATAACCCGGGCTCCTTCCTGTTTGCAGCTGCCTGAGGGGCTGGGGAGAGGCTGAGGGGCAGGGAGACACCGCCAGCCACGGACAGACTCATCCTGGGCAGCTGTGACAGCAGCATGCAGCAAAGGAGATGTGAGGAAGACGCCTCAGGGTCCAAGCCATCTCCCTCCAGGGCCCCCTTAGCCATGTGGCAGGGGCCGAGCCTCAGGGACTAGACATGGTGGGACTGGGCGGGGGAGAAGGGCCGTGGAGGCCCTGCCTGCTGCAAGGGCCAGCACCAGGCACTCAGCTTGTCCTATGCCCCCAGCCCAGGCCAAAGCATCTGGGGTTCTTGGGTGGGGCACAGAGGACTTAGGGGACAGCAGGCCTGGGTGGAGGCAGGACTCCTCCCATCCATCCCAGGGGCCTGGGGACTCTCAGGAGGCTCAGGAATCTTCTTCTCCAGAGGGCTGTCTAGAATGTCCCCCTGCGGTCACCGTCACAGCCTGGCTGGAAGAGACTGCCAGTGGGCAGCTGACCTCACGGAGTCTCCTAGTCAGACCAGGGTCTCTGGACACCTGGCCAATCCCCCAAACCCCCTCACCCCCATCTGTCTTCACACACAAAAACCTCTCCTCTCCTTCCATTCTCAGATGGGATAATCCCCTCCTATAAGCTCTGTGCTGGCACCCCTGGAATCTGTCCCCACAAACACATTGGCAGGCAGGGTCTACACAGCCGCTCCCTGGGACCAGCACAGCAAGCGCAGGTGCACACAGACTGAGAAGCACACACCAGTGTCAGCCTGAGAACAGGCAGGTGTCCCTTTATGGGGGCTCCCCCGACCCTGGATGACGAGCCAGCCTCTCCCCCACACCCTGCCTGGATAGCCCCCCGCTCAGGGTTTCCTCTCCCCTGACACCACCCCTTCGTGGGCATGGCCACAGTCTCCCCTGTGTGCCCACTCCAGGCACCTGATAAAAGTTCACGGGCGCAAGGCCTGTCCGGCCGTGGTGAACCGGACTGACCAGAGTCAGAGTTGGACCAGTCCCTAGAGAGGTCCAGACCTTGGAAAAGGTGGACACAGTTACTGGGCTGTGGGTGTACCCCCGGGACGTCTTCACGCGACCAGCCATCCACGTGAGATTTTGGCTACCCAGGCTGATGGTGGAAGCAATTTCCGCAGGGGACCCTAGGAGGCCTCCACTCCAAACCAGGAGGACAGCGCAGCCAGCCGGGATCTCAGCCAGTAACTGCAAGGACCTATTTTCCAAAACAAACATCAGACACGTGGTCGGACAAAGGATTTTTGTGCCCAGCTGAGTACAAGGGTCACTCTGAAGTTTAGCCACTAAAACATTATTCCTTCCAGAGTTTTCCATCGTTCATGGCCAGAATGTCTGAAATCTGGGCTGAGCAGACAAGCCTGGAAAGGGAGGGGGAGGGGATCTGTGGCCCGCGAGCCAGCGCCCAGGGACCCCGAGCGAGGGGAGGACCGCACCCGGGTGGGCTGTCGTACGCCCCGCCGTTCCGGGCGAGGTCTGGGCGCCCCGCGGCCAGCCCGGGCCGCACTCGCACTCACCCAGGCGCAGCAGCACCGCGCACACCTCCGCCAGGCGGCCTCC